ATTCTCTTTTCCCCTGCTGAGACTTTTATTCCAGTGTCAGTTGGATTTTTAGTCCATTGCATACATTTATGCCTTAAAAAGTCTTCTATTGATAATTCTGTCAAACATACAAGTTAAATGGCAATTAAGTTTTGTTATAGTATAATTATTTAAGCAAGCCAAACTTACTTGGAGTTGTAATCATAATTATTGATATATAATTCAACAAACATAAATGTGTTGCATATTTTGACTAGTACTGTTAGGTGAAAGAGAAAGGTATTTTAATAGACCATATATTACCTAGTACATAGATAAAGCATACCTTATAAATGCTTTTGAGGTCTGCCATCTGACAAATATCACTTGGTAATTTATCACAGTTACTTTTAATGGGCAACAGGAAGTTCATGCAGATTTTTCTTTAATTTTGTGGAAGGCAAAGAATTGGAAATCTCTTTTATTGTGTTTTTTTTCACTGCCATTAGGCTCTTATTCAATTTTAAGTTCCTAGGAATATAAAAAGTCTTTCTCAGGGCTGGGAAGGTGGCTCAGTGGTAGAGCGCTTGCCTTGCATGCATGAGGCCCTGCGTTCGATTCCTCAGCACCACATAAGCAAAAAGAAAAAGAAAAAAGCCAGAAGTGGCGCTGTGGCTCAAGTGGTAAAGCACTAGCCTTGAGCTGAAGAGCTGAGGGACAGTGCCCAGAACCAGAGTTCAGACCCCATGACCGGACCTAAAAAACAAACAAACAAACAAACAAAACACAAAAACTCTTTCTCAACCCATACCAAATGCATATTATTGTTTTCTATTACCTTTGAATTGTATGCATCTTGTTTTAACTGATGCTTTCAGAAAAGATTGGGGAGTCCCCAAAATAGCAATGTTCAAAACACTTTCTAGCATCTTCTTTTTTTTAAACACAAATTGCTATTTATAATCTATTAAATATTCAGGTCATGGTAATATGCTATCATGTACCATGTAACCTGCATATCCAAGCTGGTTTTCATCGGGTTGGCAAGGAGCATGTGCATTTGTACCGGTTGTCCCAGTTCTTCCTGATTACGTCTATGTGCTTTGTATGGAAGAGGAGAAATGAAAGTTGAGCTTACATTATTTTGATTTCACCTATGTCAACTACTTCAAAATGTGAAGTGCTGAGGGCCAATACCACGAATGAAATGCTCAGAGGCCGCTGCGTAAAAGACATCTATTCCTGCCCTCTCCCCGGCCCTCTGAATCTAGCCTCAGTCCCACAGGTCAACCACTGCCTTGTGTTTCTGTCCATTTACTCTTTGACTGAAGGAAGTCTTACGTGGTTTCATTTCCATATCCTATAGATTGGCAAGCTGAGTTTTATTGTTGTAATAGTCTATAAAATGTCATTTGGGAAGTTACAGGTTTCTATATGGAAACTCATAATTTGGTGATTTTTGTTTTTAGCAAATATTTATTGAATTACCTTGTGTACAAAGACTAAGGATGTAGCAATATACATATGGATGTAATAGGACACAGGAGATTATATTACAGTTGGAAATCAACTGGTAAAGAACCAATTGCAAACTAATAAGTCACTACAATGATAAAGGAAAGTACGGTGATAGCATATAAAGGTGCTTGTTCTCACTGTGATCAAGGAAGGTTTTCTTGACTAAGTGACACACAGATCAGATGGTATAAGTCCTTTGGGGAAGGGACTATTGAGGAAAATTGTATATTCAAGTACTGAGATTAGGAGAAATACTTTTTTTTTTTTTTTTTTTTGCCAGTCCTGGGTCTTGAACTCGGGGCTTAGGTGCTGTCTCTGAGCCTTTTTGTGTTCAGGGCTAGCGCTTTACCATTTGAGCCACAGCACCTCTTCTAGGAGAAATACATTTAAGGATTCTTTAAAAAGGCTAACTAGGCAGGGAAACAAAGAGAAAGAAACACTGAAACTTTCTAAGAAGAGATGGTACTAAGCTTATCTTGGAACAAATTTTCAGGATTTTCATCCTTGTTTCAAAGCTTGTGGCCACTGCAGGGGTTTAAGGAAAGAGATGAAAAGTCCACTGAAATGAACGTCACCCTGGGCCAGAGGCAAAGCAGGGATATTGGCTTAGATGCTCTTGCTGGGGTCCAGGACCAAGAGAGCTGGTGCCTCCAGTAGGAAGCTCAGGTAGAGTGGACACTGTAAGAGACAGGATGAAAGCAAGAGCATTCACTAACTTCCTTATCTAAATTGACCAACTTCTTTATCTAGATTGTCCACACTGTCTCTTCTAAGAAGTCAGGCTAATATCTTTTGTATAGTTAATATAAAGGAAAAAAAGAAGTGGGGCTCCTAATCATATATTTTCTTAAGGTGACTGGCAATTATATGGCATGGTACAACAAAGTCTTCAGTGGGTTTGATTGAATAAAATCAGCCCTTGCATTATTATTAGAGAAAGATAACAGGTCATCTGTGGGAGAAAGGGTTCTATAGGGATTCTTTATAGGTGATTCATCTTTAATAAGTGCTAAAGGATTCAATGTATTTTACAATAATGAAATAATTTCTTGAGAATTGGTTCTGTCTGAGATCTTGCTATGGGTGCTATGAAGATTTGCCTTCTTGAACATTTCATCAAGTTTAAGAAAGACTGTCATCCCATTTCATGGGTGGTTATCTGAGGAATGAAAGTATCAATTACTCGCATAAGGTTTCATTCACTTACTATGTCACCAGACTGAAATCCAAGCCTATTCTATTTCAATTAACAGTGCATACTGTTAACTTTTTCATTACATCTCTATCTTTACCTAAAAGGACTGCTGAATTTCATCTAGCTTTTGCTAATAATATATTCTCCCAATCAATAGGTGCTAAAAATACATTGGTATGAAGAGTTGATAAAATATTTATAATAGTATCTCAGTAATATTATTTTATAAATAAAAGCCTATCATAGGAAATAACACATAGGGGAATAAAAATGAATTACTGGTTATTTTAATTTCCAAAGATAATTACTATAGATTTTTTTTCACCCCTGGAAATATATTTCAACTTTTACCTTAATTACTTTGATGTATGAAGGTGGATTTGTGAAAAGTTATGGTTTTATCACATAAATGCATGGGATCATTCAGTACAGATGAAAAAAAATAATTATCTTTGGGTAGTTGTCAAAAGTGGTTTCAATTCAATATGTCAATTTATGGTACAATGCATCTTGATCAGTGCCATTCCTTCTTTTCCATCTGTCTCTTCCAACCCCAGCTACCCCCTGATTTACTTGGTTCCACTTTAAGTATACACTGAATATTATGAGTGTGTTCGCTCAACCTTTCTCTGTTCTACCTTTGTCTACTCCACCTCTTCTTGATGACTTCATCCACCCCTCCAACACACCTCAGTTTCCCCCTTTCACTAGACTGGCACCTGTTCAAAGGAGTTAAGACTCTTCCCTGCATATAACATACTTATAGTTGGTATATTTGTGCAGATATGCATATGGCCCTGTGCATGTTTACATATGTATGTAGGATTTAGTGTTCCCTTCCTCAGATGGGCCTGACTTACTTCACTTAGCATCATTTTATCTAGGTCTATCCATGTTTTCTGCAAATGACATAATATCATGTTTTCTGATGGAATAAGAATTTAAAGACTAGTGACATATTACAGTACTCTTCTCATATTCAGTGTGGTCAACATAAGCCCAGTTCATGGCACGTAGTAGAAACTCAAGTGTGTACTAATTATAATTGTCTCCAGGACAAATTGCCCTCCAGCTAGGCTGTAATGATTTGACATCCCAGCAACAGGTGAATCTATTTTTTCCACCTCCACAAATATGAATTCCAGTGCTTAATTTTTCCTAGCCGTCTTACTGCTTATTTGTACTTATTTTTACTACAAATGTTTAAGCATTTTCGATGTTTACTTTTTAAGTTTTCTTTCATGCTTATTAATTTGCTTATTTTTACTGTTGTGAAAGAATTTTTTAGATTGTGATTTTATTATATTTTAAGGTCATTTTACAAATACTCCTCTAGTACGTGTTTGATTTTTAAAAATTTAAGTAACTAAAAAATTAAGTAACTAAAGTTTCAGTCTTTTAAAAGATGTTGTGGTTTCTCTTTTATTTGCATTTTACAAGATGTCTTATTCATATCAATGTAATGTAAATAAAGTATTTTTGGCACTAAAAGATCACGTCTATTCTTAAAATTTGTAGACGGCTGGAGTTAAGAAATCCAGTACCATTTATGTGGACTGAACTTGTGGCACTGGGAGTTTAAGCAGTTCTGTGATTTCAGGAGTTTCAGTGGCTTGTGGATCTTTAACAAGGTTCCTGCTTGTTAAAGACAGAAAATAGGAGGGTTCTTTGCTTTGTTTTTCTGTATCCACAGAGTGGATCACAAAGGCTCATCTGGATGAGCACTTGGACCTCTGAGGATGGAGGGGATTGGTTACCTTTCGGAAAGTAGATAATAGCAATGGCCAAAGTAAGTCTGTATCTTCTGCACTTGTTCATCACAAAGGGCAAAAAATGTATTCACTTCTCAAAAATAATGTGAAGTTAAGTGTATTAATCCTATACTTGGATTTGTTTCTTGATTTGAAAAACATTGACAAATGTTCAGATGAAACTGTTTTCTTTTCTTTTCTTTTTTTTGGTCTGTCATGGGGCCTGAACTCTGGGCCTGGGCGCTGTCCCTCAGCTCTTCAGCTCAACGCTAGCGCTCTACCACTTGAGCCACAGCATCACTTCTGGCTTTTTCTGCTTACGTGGTGCTGAGGAATCAAACCCAGGGCCTCATGCATGCAAGGCAAGCGCTCTACCACTGAGCCACCTTCCCAGCCCCTATATTTTCTTTTAAAGAGTTGGTTTATTGGGTTCTGTAATAAGAAGTGATTGGATGAGTTTTCTTTATTCTGAAACTCACTAGTCACACTACAAATACCCTATCCTTCGAGTTAATGTAATGTGTAACTTTATAAAGATTTGTACCCATAGGTAATTGGAAGTATTTCTTCTCTCCTAGCTCTTGCTCCTGCCAGTCGGAGGTCTGCACATGGCTACTGATGGCAGCACTCTCGTAAGTACCTCTCAGAACACGCCAGCATTTAGACATCACTGGTATGATGAATAAGGAAAATAATATAGAAGTTGATTGTTAACTTTGCTTCCTTTATTGTCCTCTATTAGCTATAATGGAGCCCATAACCCTATTGTCAATTTCAAAGGTCTTATGGTCCGGTACCAATGTAAGATGTGGCAAAAGGTGAAGAAATATAACCATCTATTGAACCAAATTACCCGGTTCAAGAAGATGCTAAATATATAGTAAATATATAAAAATATAGTATTAGTGCAATCTCTAAGGTAACCTCCAAGGTAAAACCACATTGATTTTATTGCTATTGAAAGTGCTTTTTGGGAGACAAGTATATGGTCATACATTTGCCTTAGACAGGTAAGTAATTGAGCCAGTGTGGTATCTGAGTTTGATGGGGGGGATTGATACAGGAAGAACGAACAAGTTTATGTGAGCAATGTCGTGTTTCTCATAGAAGGAGATGAGGGTTGGTGTGGGACTGGAGAGTATACATCTTTTGGCAATCACAGGACTTCATGATGATACAGAGCTTTGGTGTAGAGCTAAAAGCAGAATCTGAAGTGAAGTGTCAAGACAGGAGTATACAGGCTTCCAGCTGAATCAATAGGGTGGATGATGGCTTCCAATATTCAGTATTCCAATATTCAATAGAATAGCAAGCATCAGGTTGGTTTGCTGACAATTTCAAACCCCAGAATAGAAAGAGAGATCAATGAGTAATACTTTGCAAGGAAGCACTGCTTGTTAGTGATGAAAAAAGTAGTGGGAACTTTGTGGGAGAAAGGACAAAAAAAAACCCCATAGATTATAGCCAGTTATAGTGTAGGAAATTTTCCATCTAAAACAATGAGAAAAGAAATGATGGGTACTTAGACACTAATGGATGGATGTTTTTGGTAATAGAAATATGAATCACCCTGATGAAGACAAATAAGAGGAAGTAGGGGAATACATGAGGCTGACAATAGATAAAAAATGTAAATACATGGTATTAAAAGAAGGTTATATAGTCTGGGGTGAAAGCAAATAGATATCACAGACCTGAGACAAGGAAGTCAGGAAGAATAAAAATCAGGGTAACTGAAATTTATGAGAAATGTTACAATGCTTGTACTTGCCATGTGTATGTGTCACACAAGCATACCTGTATAGGGGACATGAGCACAGAAGTGAAAGAAATTGCCAGGGTTGTCAGGCACTTGGGATGTGTTCAATTCTTGCGTTGTTTTACCTTTCCCACTGAGTGGATGCCATCTTCCAACAGGAAATCACTCATCTCATGTGTTTAAAAAGAAATGGAAGTAAAAAAAAAAAAAAAAAAAGAAATGGAAGTTAAGATAGTAGAGAGAATTTAAAAATTTAAGCACTTTAACCACCTCATTCATGTGTTGAAATATGCTTTTAATATCCACACTTATTATATCCTTCTGGAACTGTAGTAGAGAAGAATTGGATCTTTAATTGACTTTAGTCAAGTTAAAAATCTCTTTTTTTCGGTCTTCCTCTTTTTGGTACTAGGGTATGAACCCACAAAGTTGCACTATGCTAGGCAAGCACTTTGCACTGAGCTACCTCCCAGCCCCTTCTATTGATGGCAGAAAAATATATAACTCATGCACTAGACAAAATAAACACAGATAAGATAATCAAGGGACAATATTACGATCCACATACTCCCACATCTAGAGCTCTTACATCTATAACATGGAACTTGTTTCCGTCGATCAAGGCACAAATGCACTTTGTTCTTTAGTGGAAACTGGCTATTTCTGGATTTTTCTCATTTCACGAGCCATCCTCTACCCTATAGGCTCCATCAGCCTAGCTCCCTGGCTTGGCAATTACCTGTTATTTCTCGTACGCCCATCAGTGCTTATGTGGTGCATTAGCATCTCTCAGAACATTTCTTCCAGCTGCCTTTGCGGTGGTTACTCTATTTTATCTTCCATTTAGGAAATTAGTTCAATTTTCTGCTGTCATCTGTTGCCTAAATAAAATGCAGCATAAAGGACCTATTTTTGTGTTGGTAGTTTCAGTGGGTTTGACACCTTTGGCCTAATCACACCCAACTGCCCTTCATTTCCACTAAACTAACATTGAACAGACCTACTTGTATCGGGTGCTCTACTTGGTGCTGGGGTAGGAAGAGGAGCAGCTCACAGACTCCTCGGAGATGGAGGACACAGTTAAGGCCAGTTTGTTGTTTGCTGTTGATGTTTGATGGCTTTGTAGTTGATCATTGAGGTTTGTATGGTGAATCGTGCTCTAGGTTTAAATACTAAACCCTTAAGAATTTGAAATTTTATATGTGTTAACACTGCCCCATTCCCGCTGTTGTTAGGCTGAGTTGTTTGTTTCTGGATAGTCTTGTTTTTATGTCTTCTAAAGGAAGCAGCAGAATTATAAAGGTAAACCTGCATAGAGAACCAAAAGTGATGAATTTACCGGCTTCTTCCACTTCTAAGTCTTAAATATTCTCTAGTCTTACAAGCAGGGCCCAGTGGCAGAATACATACCTATTATCCCAGCTATGTAGGAGGCTGAGACCTGGAAGATCACAAACTTGAGCAGAAAAGTCCATGAGATTCCCTGTCTGGAGAAAAGTGGGTGTGCTGGCACACACATGTTATGCTAGCTACCAAGGAAATGAAAAAAAAAAAGGAGGATTGCAGTCCAGGTATCTGCTCAGGTAGGAAGTGAGATGCTATATCAAAAACAACCAAGCTGGGAGCCAGTGGCTCACACTTGTAATCCTAGCTACTCAGGAGGCTGACATCTGAGCATCCTTTTTCAAAGCCTGCTGGGGAAGAAAAGTATATGCCACTCTGATCACCAATAAACTACTCTGAAACAGCCAGAAGTGGTGCTGTGGCTCCAGTAGTAAAGCTCTAGCCTTCAGCAAAAGAAGCTCAGGGACAGTGTCCAGGCCCGGAGTTCAAGCCCCAGGACTGGCATAAACAAACAGTACCAAAGTGGGCTGTAGGCATAGCTCAGTGGTAAAATGCCTGCCTAGTGATTACAGGCCCTTGAGTACAAATCCTAGTACCACCAAGAGAAATGTTTTCAGGTCTTAGATAAGTGTTAGTAACAACATTTTACCTAATAAATAAAAAACAACCTATTGTTTTTCCTTCAAAAGGTATATTATTGGTTCAGAAAGATAGGAAAAAAATAGTTATCTGAAATAAACAATGAAACCAAGTAAATCCAGAAGACAGGGAAAGGAGATAAGAAGTACAGAAAAATTCTAAGTTTAAAAGCTTACAAATAAAACAATTTAAGAACGTCCAGGACAAGAGAATGAGACAGATGATCTCTCTTCGACGGTTATCCACAATTGTCCTACCAAACAAAGCGCCTAAATGCCGTTGTTTTTAGAGGTGGTGTGAGTGGAGAAAAAAATGCTAAAATTATCTCAGATCAAACCTTTATTATAGTGTTTTCGGAAGAAATCTTCTAAATAGAATTCCTTCATTACATAATATCATAAGACAAAAATAACATGCGAAAACTTTTCCCTGAAACAACTTCCTACATATGTCGTCTTTCCTGGGTCTGGTTTTTATGCCGAAGAGGAAAAGTTCAGCAAACGTGTGGTTGTTCGTGGCTGACCGTGTGGTGGGGTTGTTTGCTGTAATCTGGGCTTGTCTGTGGGAGGAGAGTGGTGTGCAAGTCGGGGGCTGGTACTTCCTGTGTTTTCTGCACAGGAAAGACCTGAATTCGCAGCTCAGGAAGCATTTATAACTTGGTCTTTCTGTGGCAACCCTGAGCAGCTATCATCCCCGGCATGAGTTCTGCCCACCAAGGACCCACCTTCCCCTCACTCTGTCTTGGCACTGAGATAATGGTCAAGGATGGAGTGGGGGCTTAGCTTTTCACTTATCTGCTTAATTGAAAAGAGCCAACACTTTGTGAGTTGGTGTTTAGGTGGGATCAGCATAGCCCTGCGTTGGCATCGCTGTAGTAAAAGTGTTCAGAGTGTGACACGTGAGTCATGCTCACGTAGGAGTCTTTTACTCTTGCTCACAAATCTTGTATCCAAAACTCCTAAAGGTCCCCCTTGAGAGGTGGTCTTAGGGCAGAAATAAATGAACAAACAAACAAGCAAACTGCTCATGTGGACTTTGGGTGGGATCTGCCTAGGGGAATCCACTATGGGTAAGGGCTGGAGGGTCTCATTAGCTACCTCTGTTCCCATGATGCCCCGCCTCAGCTCTGCTGCTTTTTGTGTTCCAAATTCTGTTATTTGGAAGGCAAAGTCGAGACAGGAGGCTGCAGAAAGTACTGTGGTTTTAAGGGAAACAGTAGTTTAGGTTGATTTAGAGATTAACTCAACAGAGGCCATTTTACCTTCAAGGCATCTCTTTGTATGGGTTCAAGTGTAAAGTCAGTTCATCGAAGGGATTTTTCCCCTCTATGGGTGTACCAATTTTGGAGTGAGAAACGTCTTGGAATAACGTTCAGTCCCCTAACTTGGCTGATGTTAGAAGTAAATGGGCATTTAGTACGTCAGATGTGAGTCTATTGGGTACTTTCAGTGCTGTCCTGCTGAATCACTTGGATCTCCTCTCGCTGTGCTTCATGCACAGAAGGGTTGTTTTGAAGGGAGCATGTAGCATTCTTCCTGCTTGGTACAAAGCCCTCCTAAACGCCTTGTCTCCTCTTTCCAGTGAGAATTCTTGAAAGAGTAATCTGCTATCCTGTGTTTATTTCCCCAATTCCTGGTCATCTTTCACCTCACTGGAATTTGTCTTATAACCCCACACAGTAATTGTTTTTGCCAAGATCTTTAATGAGTCTTTTATTTATCATCATCGTCATCATCATCATGTGTGCCTGCCCTGGAGCTTGAACTCAGGGCCTGGGCATTGTCCCTGAGGTTTTTTTCTCAAGACTAGCATTCTACCACTTGAGCCATAGCTCCATTTCTGGCTTTTGGTGATTAATTGGAGATAAGAGTCTCACGGATTTTCCTGTCTGGGATGGTTTTGAACTGTGATCCTTAGATCTCAGCCTCTTGAATAGCAAGGATTATAGGCATGAGCCACAGGTGCCAGGCTGAGTCCTTTATTTTTTATACTAGTAGAAGTATGTGTTTCGGATCCACCTTTCTCAGACTCTCATCATCACTTCCATGCTACTCCTTGCTCTGCTTTTGTCTTTGGTTATGTTTTTGTTCAGCCTTCGTATGGGGTTTCTTTTCTTTTGCTCCATTTTACTTCACAGTGACTCTAGGGTCATTCTGTCCATATTCTAGATGGCCTTATCCAAGCTCAAAATGTCTGTCATCCATCTTCACTGTTCACATGTGGAGATATTTTTCATTCCCTATTAATGTGTTAGGTAAAACTTTTGGCGGTTGTCATCTAAGAATTAAACTAAGTATTTTTTTTTCTTGTGGTGCTGGACATGGAACCCAGGGCCTTGTCCATGCCTGATGGGCACTCTACTGCTGAGCTACATGTCTAATCCTGCAAGTATTAAAAATGGATAATCATAGGCAACATTTTACTAATCAAAATGTTTATAATTTTCTCTTAAAAGCTGAGCTTAGTTTTCAAAGAATAAGAAAAGTTGTTTATAGAGAAGACAGATCATGAAATGTGTCTACGGGTTCAGGTGTCTTGTTTTCTTGGCTTGTTTAAGCATTGTTACTTTACAATGAACAACAGATTTGAAGAGAAATAAAATGCCTTCAAGGTGAAGAATTGCACCATGGGAAACGGCAAATGACACAGTAAGAGCTCCTTTAACCAGAGTGCTCACTTACCAGCATATCACTCCATAATTTTTGGTGAAGACCAGTCAGTATGAAGTGTAATTTTTTTGTTTTTGGTTAGAAATAATTTTTATGATCTTCTCCCTCCATGTACAGATGACTTCGTAGAGTCATGAAGGTTTTATCCATGTCTTCATCAAGTGCAGTTGTAGAAAATAAACTTAACTCACACCCTGTCAGCAATATATTTATATCATTTTTTTTGTTGGTCATGGGGCTTGAACTCTGGGCCTGGGCACTGTCCCTGAGCTCTTCAGCTCAAGGCGAGCACTCTACCACTTGAGCCACAGCACCACTTCTGGTTTTCTGGTGGTTTTTATTGGAGATAAGAGTCTCACAGACTTTGCTTCCTGGGGTAGCTTTGAACTGCGATCCTTAGATCTCAGCCTCCTGAGTTGCTAGGATTACAGGCGTGAACCACCAGCACCCAGCTATTTCTGTCACTTTTAAAAACAATAGCCATTTTATTTTTCCATAGTAGTTTGAGAATGGTTTTCTTTTTTGGATCAAACCAAGATCATCTTTGTTTATAGGTAATAGTTTCCTGACAGAATGCTTTCCTCTAACCCCTAAAAAATTACTATCCTAAGTGATAACCTCTTCTTGTACAAGAAGTGTAATGTTTAGTGACAAACTGTTTTATTCTGAATTTTAATACACCTTAGGTTAAATAGTGGATGCAAGAGTTAACAAGTAGTCTATCTAGAAGTCAGTATCACCTGTAATCTCCTGAACTCTGTCGTTACACATCAAAGAAGGTTCCTTCCCATACTTCTGTGTGTATAGCTAGTGGCACCACTTTTAAAAAGGAAAAAGTGTACATCTTCAATAAAAAATATAATAGGTATTTTCAATATTCCCCAAATTTTAGATCTGAGTTAGGGAAAGTTAAATTCTTCAGAATTTAAGCTTGTCTCTAACACCCAACTGAAAGAAAACAGAAGGGAGAATGTATTAGGAGTCTTACTAATGTATGAATGTATTAGATCTCAGCATTGTGATCCAAGTTTTAATCCCCCTCTTTCAAACTGCCTCATAAAATGTTCTACTGGCTGCTGACTATTTTTACCTACCTAGTGAAAAAAAAAATGCACATTATGGTCTTGAAACTGACTGGCTTGTGGGTTCTACTTCCTGTGGCGAGGAGGAAAATGTATCTCATACAGGAACCAGTTAAGGTTTCAAAGTCACATCTCTTAAGTGAAACCAAAACTCCTCATAGTTTATTATTTCTAGAGAATGCAGTTGTTTCTGGCCAAGGAAAACAGCTGACAGTCAGTGACTTGTTTCAGGAGAAGTACCAACAAAGCGGAGCCGTGCTGCTGCTCTCCTTCAAAAACAAGCAGACAGTCTCACTCAACTGAGGTACCATGTTGTCATGGGTCTGGGTCTGGAGCACTCTGAGAAGACCTATGAAAACTCCTCTTTCTACACACACACACACACACACACACACACACACACACACTCTCTCTCTCTCTCTCTCTCTCTCTCTCTCTCTCTCTCTCTCTGATCCCTGGGAATTCTTAAATCCCAACTTTCCCAAAGCTTGCTTCTCATTACATCTCTGTATTCTCTTTGCCTTTGACTCTGGCTCATAGCTAAATTTTACTTATCTAAATGTTATGCATATTTGGGGAAAAATCTTGTATATACATAGTATGGGTTATATTGATTTTGTTTTTGATATTTGGCCTATAAAAAATATCAGGTGTATGTGTGTGTGTGTGCCAGTCCTGGGGCTTGAACTGAGGACTTGGTCACCATCCCTGGACATCTCTTGCTCAAGACAAGTATTCTACCACTAGAACCACAGTTCCATTTCTGGCTTTTGTTTTTAGTAGTTAATTGGAGATAAGAGTCTCATGGACTTTCCTGCCCACGCTGGCTTCCAACCCTGATCCTCAGATTTTATCCTTCTGAGTAGCTAGGATTACATTTACATCATGGCGTCCCTTTAAACATATGATAGAACCCCATAAGTAGCTGTTAGGACAATAGTTATATAGACTACAGCCCGATGCATCATGAATCATGAATGCCACACAATTGCTTAAGATTACTTGTAGAGCTAACAATTTTATGCTTTTTAATTCTTCCTTGAATTCTCTACTTGCTAATATAAAGACAAGTTATTTAAACCTGAGGAAACTCAATTATATATTGCCGAAGAAACACGAAACTTATCTAAGCTAAAATTCCCTTTGCACACATCTGCATGTATGTGCACACATAGAAATTTGAAAGAATTTTGTTTCTTGTTTCCTAGTTTTGCTGCTAGTCTGACTTTATACAAATTGTGTCGTGTGTCATCATTGTGGGCAGGGATGGGAAGGAGATACCAGGGGAAAGGAAGGAAGGGTGACGTTGACCAGAAAGAATTGTACTCATTACCTGACTTATGAAATGGTAACCTCTCTGAGTAACACCTTAATCATAACAACAAAATTACATTAAACATATCCTGTGAAAAAGTATGTATATTTCAGGAATGTTGTCAGATGTCTGGTTTGAATATTCGAAAAGTCAGTATGGATTATGTATGTCTTAGATATATTGTCTTAGGTCTGACTTGAATATTTGAAGAGCTCATATGGATTATGGTATATTTTAGTTATGTTGTCATATGTCTGACTTGAATGTTTGGAGAGCTGGAATGGAGTCGTCTGATAACAAGTTTCTATAATAACAAGTTTCTCTTCCATAAAACATGTGAGAAATTCAGAGATAAAGATAGAATAAGAAGTATAACTTTGGCCAATCTAACCATTTCTTAATACAGTGGGCTGGGATCACCTGACACGAGGTAACAGAATATCTTTCCTTGAGCTACTCAGTTCATAGACTTTGGGTACAGCTCTGGGTAGTAGCAGGACCGTGAACTTAGTCCAATGAGAACTTAGAATATTGTGAGGTTCTAAAACCTATCTAAAGGCTTATTTTTTAAAATCATCATTATTTAGAAATTATAAAACAAGAACCTGGGCTTTTTACAAAGATGTCAAGCGGGAAATATTTGTGATTTTTGGCAGCTTCCGTGAACGTGGTGCTAGCATCACCAGGTAGCAGTGAGCGCTGCTGAGAAGTGCAAACGGGAAAGCTTAGTGGTAAATGTTCTCTACTTGTTTTTGTTGTTGTTTTTCAGGTTCACTCCATATATATTGATTCTAATGAGCACCCTTAGTGTCTCAGCCCGTAGCTCCCCGTAAGCTCTGCTTGGAGAGTTTTTTTTTTTAGAATCCACCCTGCTGATAAACACTGCCACCTCCTCCCTCCTTCTCTCTTTACAAATGTTACAACACAATCAGAAATTTCCTCTTTTCTTTCCTTCCTGCATTTTCAGCAGGTCCCTTTGCGTCAGAAGCCGAGGAAGAAAACTCAAGGTAATTATATCTTCTCCATTGTTTCCTTGACCGTGTGAGTGTGTGTGTGTGTGTGTGTGTGTGTGTGTGTGTGTGAATTTTCTCCTGGATGCTTTCTTGAGAATCGGGTTCTTGTCTGTTTGAATGGTACTATCAGGAGGTAGATGTCAGATTAATTTACAGTTATTTTTGGATTGGTTTTAAGAAATGACGCCACGCTGTTCATGTGGCTTAGTCCCTTGTGGTGTGGTGGGATGTCTGTCACTGGAGCTTTGAAGAGCTGGTGCTGCTGGGCAAGGGGCTGTGTTTTTAGGTGGGCTTTAACCCTTCCCTGTCTATTGCATAACCGTGCTGTTATTGTCAGAAGGCGCTGTGTGACTGCAGTAGTGTGTCTGCCAGCCTGGAGATGTTAATATTTCCAACTTCTTCTTGGCAAATAATATTCTCAGACCAATACTTGCCAGTCAGCATCGTTGCTTTTTTTGCCCAGATTTTATATCTTCTAGACAGGGACTGTAATTTAAAAATAAATCAGATACATGAGATTTTCTTCTTTTCTTTTTCTTTTTTTTGCATTTACTATGCATAAATCTTAGTGAAAAATCTAACTCCTGGGAGGTAAACAATTAAAGGTTCCCTCCCTCCTTCCCCCCCCCCCCCCGTCACATACATGGAGTGATGTGTATCTCTTCATGTAACTGTTGCAGGTTTTTTCACGATGAGTCGGAGAAGAATATCATGTAAAGATCTGGGACATGCCGACTGCCAGGGGTGGCTGTATAAGAAAAAGGAGAAGGGAACTTTCCTGAGTAACAAATGGAAAAAGTTCTGGGTGGTGCTGAAGGGGTCATCGCTGTACTGGTATAGCAATCAAATGGTGAGTTCTCCGCTGTCTCCTTCCTCCCCTGTCCAGCCTCCCCCTCTCCCCAGCCTCCCTTTGCCCCAGCCTCTGTAGCAAAGGGTGGGCTGCACAGCATGGATCCCTTGTGGGAAAGTTAATTAATTTTGGGGACTTGGAGCAGAGCAAATACACACATTTGTTATAGAAACCGTTTCTGGTCCAATAGATATGTAGGTGATTTTGTTGTGTTTTATGGAGGAGAAAACTGTGCTGTTTGACTAGTCTATGTCTGAAATGGAAGGAAAGAGAGGTTGAGATGTATATTCTTGCGAAAGGAGGGGTTTTTGAGTTCTAGTAATGTTACGGTTTCCTGCCAGATTCTAATAGCTCCATGATTTCTGTGTCCATCAATAAGGAAACTTTACATTGCTCAGGTGGCTGCTGAAAGGGAGCCTGGCAGCGCCCCCTACTCAAGGTATTAGTTGATTCCATTCTGCAAAGCTCTTTCCGTGTCCCTCCTTTGCTGCCTTCTTCCTCTTCTTTCCCTCTGATCTTCTTTATGTGGTAGGTCGTTTGGAAGGGCTAACTTGTGTCCCTTTTGCGTGATGGCATTAAGCCACTGGTATGTGGCTAATGATGCCCTAGGACACTTGCTGAATGTATTCTTTAATGGGCACAGACTTGTGGTTGGCTTCCCGGGCTGGTTTGCTGTTGGAAGCCCCCATTGTCAGGTGCGTTTTTTAGCACTGGGCACAGGATTAAATTGGCGATGGTTTGGAAGTTTTCTAGGAATGACTTGGGTTCGTTCCCTGGGGAGCAATCCTTGATCTCAGAGATCTTGAACCTGTTCAGGATATAGGAAGTCAGCAATGCCCTGGAGTGATCTCCACACAGCCATTCCCTAAACCAAACCTACTGCCTTGCTTTCACCCCTGTAACACAGCAGTACACCACAGCTCCTCGCCCCGTGGCGAGGAGCAACATTCCTGCAAGCATGCTGGTGAGTCTGAACAACTTCCTGGAAGATTTGAGGTGTTTACCAGGAAAAAGTCACCTTGTAGAGTCCACAGTCTCCCTCTGAGTTCTGCTCCTCTCTTTTCTTCTCTTCCCCTCCTGGATACATCTTCACCTTGTCCAGCACAGAGTCGTCGTACCAAAGTTAAGTCAACCTATGGCTAGGGTCCTCCCTCCTGTTAGAAGGATGTTTCCTCTTCTTTCATGAGAGGAACAAAGGTGAATGCAGATCTCTCCCCTATTTCCTGTTGTGTCAGCTTCTAGCCTTTGGGTGGTTGTGGCAAGTGATCATCACCTAACGTCTTTTTTTTAAAGATGTGATGTGAGGTTACCTTCCGACAGCTTGGAGAAGTTTCTAGAGCCCATGAAGAAAGTGGTGCTGATAGAGCAGGGTGTATCATGGGAAGTAATATAGCTTGTATTTAATGGGACAATCCAGTTTCCCAGTCAAATAATTTGTCAGATTTCTCCTGAGCTCACAGAACTGTAAGGACGGTCCCTGTCCTTGCAGAATTGCAAAGGAAGCCCTCTGAACCCCGTTTCTACCAATTTGGCTCACTTGTCCCCATCAGCTTGTGGGGCTTATGTTTCTCTTTCATGACAGTATTAGGGCTTGAACTCAGGGACTTGTGCTCTTGCTTGTCTTATTTATTTACTTATTTTTGCTCAAGACTGGTGCTCTGTCACTTGAGCCACACCTTCACTTCTGGATTTTTTGGTAGCTAAGTGGAAAGAAGAGTCTCATGGACTTGTCTGCCTAGGCTGGCTTCAAAGCATGATCTTCAGATGTCAACCTCCTGAGTAGCTAGGATTGCAGGTGTGAACCGCCAGCACCCAGCTTGCCTTTTCTTTTGTGAGAGGAATGGTGATCTGAGCACCACGCCTTTCCTATTTTAGGCATTAGGACACCAGTCTTCCTCAAGGAACAGCAGCTTCAGCTAGAGAGAGAAAAGGACACACACAGGCAGCCTGTCCTGATGTGTTTCATGCAAATGGAGAAAGCATTGTTTAGGTTGCCAACCTTGTACTTGAAGATAACCAGTGTCAAATTGGGAATACATTTGCTGTTGTGACAAGTCACAAACTGTATATACCATATGTATAATGGTATGTAATAGAAGGGACTCTTTCTGTTTTTCTGTTTCTCTCATCTGTCTCTGTGTCTGTCTTTCCCTCTCTGTTTCGGTCTCTCTTCTTCTCTGGCACACACATACACACATTCACAGATGCATATCCTGACATCTTAATTATATATTTGTTTTGGGGAAAAATGGCCTCATGAATACTTAATTAGCAGCATATTCCTGCTATGTGTGTGAATATCCACACAGAAAAGAACCAAGCACACACTCTCAAGTTAAAACAACTACTTTCTGCCACTTCAAGAGTGCACATTCAGAGACACAGAGGTGGCTTCATGTATAGAATCCTACCTACTGAGCTGGTGGAGATCTGGAAGACCATGGTTCAGGACCAGCTCTGGCAAAATGTGAATGAGTTCCACATCTTAAGCCACAGACACAGGAGGTGACATACTTCTGCAGTCCTCACTCTGTAGCCAAGGTGGAAGGACTGCAGTCCAGGACTAGTCCAATCTAAAACACAAGTAAAACAAAAATGGGCTGGGAGTGTGGCTCAAGCGGTAGATTGTCTGCCTAATAATTCCAAGGCCACAAGTTCAGACCCCCAGAACACCCTACCCCCCCAAAAAATGAGCAGTCACTTCTAGAGCACCTACACCTGATGAGCAGGCTTTTTTTTTTTTCTTTTTTGGTTGTGTGGCTTAAACTCAGGGCCTGGGTGCTGTCCTTCAGGTTTTTCACTCAAGACTAGTACTCTACTACTTTGAGTCACAGTGCCACTTCTGGTTTTCTGGTGGTTTATTGGAGGTGAGAATCTCATAGCCTTTCCTACCAGGGTTGGCTTTGAACCATGATCCTCAGATCTCAGCCTCCTGATTAGCTAGGATTACAGGTGTGAGCCACCGGGGCCCAGCTATGGGCAGGTTTCTTAATTCCCCCTTCTGTATTTCTTGATCTTGCCGGAGGGATGTGCTTGGTGTAGAACTCAGGTAGTCTGATGTTGAGCAGTGTGAGAGTCTTGCCTGGCAGAAGCTCCCCTGTGTACCCGGGATGCTCTAGTAGCCTGTCAGACATGCTCAGAGGCAATAATTACCACCGTGTGAAGGGTGGGAAGACCGAGACTCAGGTTGTGGCAGTTGCCCAAGTTAGAAGGAATAAGTACTAGGAAAGCTTCGTATCCAACACACTCTGATTGCTAAGTCCACGAGAGCTGCTTCATGCCAGTTGAGCTCCTTCTTGGTTCTGGGGTCAATGGTGACCAGGATCAATGACACCCAGAAGCCCACCCTGCTTCCCCTCTTCAGCAGGGTTCTGAAAGGCCAGCAATAGAATGGTGATCCGGGACAATACTGTGAAGTTACAAGTAAGTCCCGGGGCTCCTTCACTTGGCTCTCTGGCTTTTCCATAGTGCCTGGTGAGAGTATGCCATCCTTTCCTCTCTGTTGGGTTTAGGTTGTTACTGTGATGCAGAAGTGCCTTCTTCCTTCCTCACAGCCTCTCAACTCTGCTACCCAGACTTCCTTGAGAAGGGTCACCCGCCATCTGTCACATCATCAGTAAAATGTATCACAGCATACATGGTTGCATGGCAAGTCTTACAAAGCCATATGTAAGTTTAATAGCAGCAAACAGCCCAGTGGTTGAAATCCTAGCATTAAACCCCACACTCTTGCTTTCCCTTCGAATGAAGTACAAAGTCACGTCCTGGCTCTTGGGTATCCCTGGGCTTGAACTTAGGGCTTGGGCACTGTCCCTGAGCATCTCTTGCTCAAGGTTAGCACTCTACCATTTGAGCCACAGTACCACTTTAGCTTTTTCATGTATGTGGTACTGAGGAATGGAACCCAGGACTTCATGCATGCTAGGCAAGCACTCTACCACTGAGCCACCTTCCCAGCCCAACTAATACCTTTCTTACTTTCCCCACCCCAACTCACACTTCAGCTATGGAACCTCTGGATCCTGCTGTCTTGCTTGCTGGTGCTTTTGAACATGCTGTGCCTTAGCTCAGGGGACTCTGTCTCTGTGGCTTCAAGTTTTTCTCCTGCCCAGTCTATCAAGCTTATTCCTCCTCATAGAGAGTTTTTGGTTAGCACCCTTCTTTCACACAGACTTACCTAATCCTTGACCTAAGTTTGGCCACCTGTGTTTCCTGAGTATTGTATTTTTTTTTTTTTTTGTCGGTTGTGGGGCTTGAACTCTGGGCCTGGGCGCTGTCCCTCAGCTCTTCAGCTCAAGGCGAGTGCTCTACCACTTGAGCTACAGCGCCACTTCCGGTTTCTAGTGGTTTATTGGAGATAGGAGTCTCACCGTCTCTCCTGCCCGGGCTGGCTTTGAACCGCGATCCTCAGATCTCAGCCTCCTTAGTAGCTAGGATTACAGGCGTGAGCCACCAGCGCCCGGCAGTATTGTATTTTTTTATCATCCTATTCATCATCTTTCTCATATGTGTTGGTCAAATTCCTCTTAGCATCATTGATAGTCATCTCTCTCGGGCAAAGCCTTGGGCCTATCTTGAGTACCATACTCCGGGTCTGGCAGTGAATAAGCAGGTGACTAATATTTGTTGGTTTCAGAAATGAATGAGAATTGAGAATTATTAGCATTTACCGTGTCTATGGGCAGTTTGAGAAATGGGATCATGGAGAAGGACTGCTCTTGACAGGAAATTATTTTGTAGGAGTGGAGAATTTCTATTTCGATTCTTAAAATCAAACTCAGGACAAGGTGAAATTTGGGGTTCATTAGAAAGGTTCCATGGCTCCAGACACCTTCCACCCAGTGGTCTCCATCTGGCTACTACCTTACTAGAGGTATTTGAGGAGCAGAGGGAAGGAATAGCCATTCCAGTCTAAGTACTAATGTGAGCAAAGGAAATGTAAATGTAAATGAGAGAGGTATTCTATTGAATTTTCACTATAGTCAAGAAAGATATATTTT